AATTAATTAATCGACTATAGGCCTGACTCTCTAAAAGTGTCCCCAGCGGAGTCGCCAAGCTGTCGAAACGGTTTTTAACGGGTTCGGGGGGCGAGATTTAGAAACCGCGTCATTTTTAATTATTTATCTTTGCAATCGAATTTTAATTAAAAACAATGCAATTTTAGAAAACCTCTCGTTTCGAGAAATTGGAAATTCCTTTACGGTCAAAATATATGGTTCGAGGAGTCGCCACCAATCTTTGATTAGGGTGTGATTGGGCACCCAAAGATGTTGTCATTTTAAATAAAAATTAATTTTAATTAAAACGACAAATTTACGGTCTACGTTACCAAAATCCAAGTTCGGGAGTCGGTTACGCGTGGGGAAGGATTAGCACCCCCACAACGCCCTAAATCGGTACCTAGTTGATTAATTAATTTCTTTGCAACGAATTTCGCAAGTTCAAATTTAATTTGATTAATGATCCCTTTAAACAACAAACATGCAAATTTGCAACATTCAAAGCAACAAAATAGGTTTAATTTAAAATTACCAAGTCATTAGAAAGATAAAGAATATTCGATTATTTAAAAATATCGAGACCAGATCTTTAGTTCAGTTCTAACGACCTTTTCTCGAAAAGTTTAAATAGTCGAATATTTCCTTTTCTTTCGCTCCCAAATTTTACAATGATATATCCAAACTTAATTAGGCGTTACTGACGGGATACCATTTTAATTTAAAATCGTCAAAACAACTTTCCTGTAAGTTAAGAAAAGCCATTCTGATAATTTTAGATTAAAAGGGCATTACCCTTAATTCCGATTATGTGATTAGATCGAGTTATTCACGTGAGGCTATCATGCAAATTATGCTGATTGAATGTCATGCAAAGAGTAATAAATATTATGATTAAAATATCATGTAATTTGAAATACAAAAGAAAAAATATATACATATAAAAAGGGTGACTAAATGTGAATAAAATCAAAACTAAACATACTAATCAAAAGTTAAACAAGGGCTAAAATATAAAGAAACTAAACAGTAGGCTCATTTCACGAAAATTTCATTTCCATGCACTGCAAGCATAATATTACAAAAGTGCCATGCAGGATCACAATGCACATTTCCGAAATTCCATATCCAATGTCAAATTTGCACAAAAATGGCCAAAACATGTAACTGGACTAAAATAAAATGCTCTGTAAATTGAGAGACAAAATTAGAATAATAATAAAGCTCGATTCAGGGACTGAAATGGGACGAAACAAAATTGGGATGGCCACACTCAGTATTACCCCCCCCAGCAAAACGCAGTAGACTCCAGCTTCATGAAACGCCACCGTTTCAAACCATCATGGAACGACGCCGTTTTGACATATGGGATAATAGGGTAAGTCCTATACCTAATTTCATTTTCTCTTCTCATCCTAAACCAAACAGAAGAGCCCCAGCCGTTTTCTCCCATCTCTCCTTCTTCAACCTTCAAACCCAGACGAAGCATGACCAACGCCGTGGCCACCGCCGTCTAATGGCTCCGATGAGGAGCCGAGCAGGCGTGAAACCTACCCCGTAAACCTTGAACCCCAAAACCTTGAGTCTCTCATGACAGAACCCAAAACCAAAGGGGCTAAAACAAACCTTCAACCTTACTGCCACACCACACGACCACCGTGGTTTCCCCCTTTCTCACTCGTATGTTTACTTAAAACCCAGGCCTCCACCACTTAAACACTCCGACGAGAACCCCCATGTCCTGACTCAGAAACCCCAACTAGATCTAGCCTTTTAGAGACCTACGACCCACAAATAAACACGAAAACAAAACCCTACATACCCACCACTCGAAACAGGAACCAAGAGTCACGCGAATCTTACCCTTGATGACCCAACGTGGCTCGGGCTTGGGCGATGGCGACGTTCTGCTCTTCGACTAAGGAAGGTGAAGGTTTTTTTTTGTTTGCTTCGTCTTTTGTTGACTGATATGCTAATGGGTTTTTGGACTCTGGTTCTGGATTTCTCCTGTTTCGTGGTCCTTTTGATGGTTGGTTCTCTCCTTCGTGATGACTGGTTCCCTCGATGATCACTGGTTTGGTAATTGTGTTTTTTGGTTTTGTGTTTTTTTCTTCGATGAGCTGATGGGTTGAGCGTTTTTTGCTTGGGTGATGACTGATAACTCCCAGAACCCCCACTTTTCTGGTTTCGTTTTCACTGCTATTTCTAGTTGATTTTTTCTTTCTGTTCTTTTTTTTGTGCCTTCTGTTCTGCTTCTTGTTTCGTGTGTTTGCAGGGCACTGGCGAGAGCAGATCACGGGCGGCAGCTGTGGGTAGCTGAGCCATTGCTCGGTTGGTCGTGCGCTATCTGGAAATGCGGTGGTGGCTTCACGTGAGTCTGCAGTCGGCTCGGGAATCACAGAGGGCTGGGAACCGTTGGATCGTGGAGCCAGATCCAACGGCCTTCCTGCTGCGGCGCTAAACATAGGGCAAAAAAAACCCTAAATCACTCACCATTCATTTCCAACCGTTAGATGAGAGCCTCAGATCGGGCGGTTCAGACAAGGTGGCGCTGTGAGCTTCTTCAGTAGAAACCCTAATGGGTTTAGTTTTGCAATTGGGCCTGTCTGGTCCAGCTTGTTTTAAGTTGATGTAGGCCTGTACCATTAATGATAATATTAGTGCATTTTAATTATTTATTTATTTAATTACTTAATACACACACATATATATATATATATTAATAATTACTTATAACAATATTAATAATAATAAATTCGAATTAACTTCGAATAAGACCCCGGACAAATCGAGTATCTACAATGATATATCAACATCACCATTAATTCTTAATGATGGATGATAAAAAAATGGATCAAAATATAACATTAGATGTAATTTTAAAAGGATAATTGAATGACCATCACAATAAAAATAGGTGAATAATTAAATAATTAATTTATACTTAATTTAATGCATCATTAGTTAGAGAAAAAAGGACAACCGACAAAATGGAAGGAAAACAACACAGGGTTTGTCTTATATTTGAAACATTGATATGTCAACTGCATCAGTAATTTAAATTTTGAGGCTATAATATCATCTGTTATGTAAGCATGGTGAATTCAACAAGTGTTCTTAATAGAAAATTTACGTTAGAGTTTAAACTAGAATATTTTTCTAACTGAAGTGTATTAAATTAATTTCAAATTTGAGCATAGTAAAAGGACTAAAATTATAATTCGACCAATTATCAAAGCATATAATAATAAGAAAGAAAGGGAATTATAACTGCAAAAGCATCTTTTAGAAGGAAGTTGTTGAGCCGTTATATCTTCATACCCAACACCACATGACAAAGATGCATAACAAACCGTATATTGCCTATATATTATTTTATGTTATGAATCTTTATTTCATCATTTTTAAAATTTTTTGTTATTCTCTCCCTCAGAAAAAGCCACGTGTCATTGAATTAAGGTCAAATTTACACTTCACTGTGTATCTTTAAAATTTTCAGTCTAAGAAAAATGCATCTTATCTCATTTAAACAACATAAAGTTACATTTATAAAGTTTGGGGTATTATTTTAGTGAATCGATAATTGCATTCACTTTCAGAAAATCAAAAAAGAGTGTATTGAAAATTTTAGAATTAACATTGACGACGACAATCGATGGCGATGGACGATAGGCAACGATTGGTGGTGGGAAACTATAATTAAATTCGTGAGTTAAAATAATATTTTTTAACTAAAATTTAAGAGATAAATTAGTATTTATCTAAAAGTCAGGCACTGGATTAAAAATTAACTCCTTTTATTAACATTGCATATCATTAAACCAACTAAATTTTAACGTCTTAATATAATAAAATGCTATAAAATTGAGAATGTAAGTGATCAAAATATTGTTTTTTTAAATTAATAAGAAAAAGTGAAAAAATAAAATGAAGGCGACCATTTAATAATTTACCTTTTTTAAAAAAAATAAAAGGGGTGGTTTCTTCTGTTGTTGATTATTTTGGTCAAAACCTAGTCCCATAGGCATTTAACCAGTGGGGGGTTAATCCTGAAATATGTTTATTTATTGATTTATTTATAATTTGCCTGGTTTAGGGTTTAGGATTTCATGAATGAAAATGATTTTAACTATTTTTAAAAATTATTGTCACCAAACTCCAATAATGAGTATTGAGGATGGCAATGTCCTTTTGCTTGAATTGGGAGCAACCTCTTTTTCATTTAACAAAATGTTCCTTTGACCTTTCTGCCTTTTATTTCTTACATTGGATTGTGACTATGCCCATTGGAATATGATTTACCACTTGCTTTTCGAACTTTGAAGTAATCCATGTATCCGGGTAAGATTTTATGTTAAGGTGAATTTTTAAAATTTTAATAAAGAAAAAATTATAAAACTCTATGAACGGAAATATGTTATCAATAAAAATATAAAAGATTATTTAAAATAGATGATAATTAGAATTTTTAAAGAGAAAATTCGCTTCCATCCAGGTTAATTGATCAATATGTTTGAACTCCAAAATGCATATTTATCTTTTCTTACATTGAAGCTCTCCTCTTAAAATAATATAAGGAAATAGAAAAGTGATGATTCGAATATAAATTTATTAGATCTTCTTCTAACATTGATGATTGAAAATTGTTTTATATGTTTGATGGTATGAATCAAAACGGTGAAGACCAAATTGAAGAGCTGATCTAACTATTCAACCATATAAACTGAATTAAAAAATTAGAGAACCAATAAGAACTAGGAATAAAAAAGCAAAAGTTAAAACATGGTGATTTTGTAAACAATAGTTTTAAATTTGTTATTAGCAGGTTGTTTAAAGATGATTGGGTTGAGCAGTTGGGGAGGTTATATCAACAGCAATTTTAAGAAACGTGACGGTTTCTTGCTTGCCTAAATTGATGGTCATCGTCTTTCTGGAAATTCAACCAGCGTTTGGCACCAACCTTTAAAACAAAAGTCATAACCATCTCTCTCTCTCTGTCTTCTCCAAGTTTCTTCAGCTCAACAAAAGCTCCAGTTTCCCCTCTGTAAATAACCTTTTGTCGGGGCTTCCTAGAACTCCAGGTTCTATCTACTTGTTTCACAAGGTAACATCTGATTCCATTTGCTTTCTTTTGGCTGCATATGAAGATTTATTCAAACGTGTAATTCCTTGATAGGAACAGGGCAAACTAGTGTTGAAATCAAGTGATTTGTTTTGTTATTCCTCCATTAATGAAATCTGCCGATAACCAACCACCGTTTAAATTTCTGATTAGGCTTGACGTTCTGTAATGATTAATGTCAAACAATGAATCAAATTGCACATGCAGAGCTGTCTAATAAACATATTTAAGTAGACCCAAATAGATTTATTTGCAAGTTTTAGTATTTTATGTGTAATAGACATATTTTGGTTGTTTCAGAAAAAAAGATGGGAGAGATTTCAAGGTTCCAATTGGGAGTGATTGGTGCCCTGTTTCTGTCAGTTGCATCATCTGTCTCCATTGTCATATGCAACAAAGCTTTGATGACCAATCTTGGCTTCCCTTTTGGTAATTCCATACATCAGCTTCTTTTTCTTTTTTAATATATATCCATATCTTTATCAATTTTGTTGTAATATATATGCAGCCACAACACTCACAAGCTGGCATCTAATGGTGACATTTTGCACCCTCCATGCCGCCAAACGCTTCAACCTGTTGGAGAATAAACCAATTGACATCAAGACTGTGATGCTCTTTGGCATCCTCAATGGCGTTTCCATTGGACTTCTCAACCTGAGCCTTGGATTCAACTCCATTGGCTTCTACCAGGTAGGACTTCATTTTTCAATTTGATTACCTTTTTCACCCATAAATTCGAGTCCTCATTCGTTTCGGTACCTCTTTCCGCAGATGACCAAGCTCGCAATCATCCCATTCACTGTACTATTGGAAACCGTCTTCCTAAAGAAACAATTCAGGTTCTTTCTTCTTCTTCTCATTTGGTTATGATATTTGAGCAGTTTAGAGATTTAAAGCTTAACCACAAATGATGTGTTATACTTTGTGCAGCCAAAAGATAAAACTATCACTCTTCCTTTTACTTGTTGGAGTTGGCATTGCGTCTATCACTGATCTCCAACTCAACTTTGTTGGCACAATCCTCTCTCTCCTTGCCATTGTCACCACATGTGTTGGCCAAATTGTATCCTTTTTGTGAATCTCCATAGCTCTCTTTCTATGGTGGTTTAGTTATGTTTTTAGTCCCTCCACTATTCTCAAATTCTGAGAATAGTAAAGGGACCAAAATAAAAATTTGACCTTTTTATAACCTTAACCAGAAAAACATAGCTGACAAACACCATACAGAAGAGGCTGAATGTATCTTCAACCCAGTTGTTGTACCAATCAGCCCCATTTCAGGCGGCCATTCTTTTTGTCTCGGGTCCATTGGTCGACCAGTTTCTGACCAAACAAAATGTGTTCGCTTTTAAATATTCCCCTATTGTCTCGGTACGTTAAACCATACCTCTCTTTTCACACCATATTTCAGCTACTATGCTCAAATTATAGGGACTTAATCCTGAACTTGAATGTGTTGGAGGGACCAAAATCATAATTTGAGGGTGGTTTTCTGATAAGGGATTGGATTTTGAAACATATTTTTGCAGGCATTTATCATCCTCTCGTGCATAATCTCAGTATCTGTAAACTTCAGCACATTTCTGGCAATTGGTAAAACATCACCGGTGACATATCAAGTACTTGGACACCTCAAGACTTGCTTGGTTCTTGGGTTTGGGTATACGCTGTTGCATGACCCTTTCACCCAGAGGAACATCATCGGGATCTTGATTGCCATTTTTGGGATGGGCTTCTATTCTTATTTTTGCACCCAAGAGACCAAAAAGAAACTATCTGATCCATTGGGCTCTCAGGTAATGTTGTCTTTTTATGTATCTTCAAGTGTCAGATTTAGTTACAAATGGTTATGAATTCACCTCGTAACTAAAAACATTTAGGATTGGAATGTTTGTTTAACAAATGTTGATGATTTGTTTGTACAGATGAAAGATAAGGATGGAACAGTATATATGGGTTTAGAGAAAGAAGGGGAACAAGTGAAGAATACAGACAAGGATTCTCATGTTTAAAGACAAAACAGAAGTGGGTTTCGATCATTTTGTACCTCAATTCTTTACACTCATTTCATCTTCCATTTTTCACACCTTATAATTGTAGAAATGTAGGGAATGCTTAGCCAATTGTAATACGCTTTCAGTGTAATTAATTATTAAGAAATGCTAAAAGGAACTATAGTGTTTCTTTCTTTCCGAGTAAATTATGTCATTCTTTACTAAACTATACTCTATTTCATATTTTACTGAATGTACTTTCAAAATTTTAATTTATTCATTGAATTTTTGAATTGCTCATGCTTTGATCATTCTAAATTATTTTATTATTATTTCTCTACGATATGACTTTTTTTATTATTATGGTAATATATAAAATAAAAGTAGAAGATGGTCTGTCGTCACCGTCGACCGCTGTAGATTATGATCGTTCGGTCTCAAATTTCATGTGTTGGTTCATCTCGACACCCTGACTCCGAGTCTAGTGGTTGTTTCACCGTAAAATGTCACAAAACCCATGAATCTCGACTGAAATGTTTCGGTTTCCTCACTTTCAATCTCTGATTTGTAGACTTCGGACCAAGTTTCGACAAAATGGAGGTTGGATTCAGACTTAAGGTGTCGAGACGAAGCGACCCATGAAATTTGGGACCCAACGGCCATCGTTACGACAGTCGACGGTGGCATCTAATCACCTTATGTTTTTATTTTATATTTTTAATTATTTTATATTAAATAATAATAAAAAGATCATATCATACAAAAATAATAATAAAATGATTCAAAATGATCAAAACATAAACAATTCGAAAGTTTAGTGAGTAAATTAAAAAAAATTAAAAATACAATAAATAAAATAGAAGAGAGACTATATTTCATTAGAGAATTGTGTAATTTACTCTCTTTCTTATATCTCCGCTAGTTGTCCATCCATCTGATTTGAGTAGTAATTCTTTTCTATCAGAGTTAGGCATTATTTCTTAGGTTTTAGGTTCAAAATATTTTTTTTTGAAATATAAATGTGATTGAATTCAATCTAATCCATGAATATATTTATTAAAAGATATTTATAAAATGTTTAATATTTATTTTTTCTCATTATTTTATAAAAATCTGAATTTGATTTTTTTCTGATAATTTGTTCTCTCAATTTTTATTTTTAGAGTAAATTACAATCATGATAGCTTAACTATGGACATATTTTATTTTGACCACTGATTTTTAGAACATATACTAGCTTATAAAAACCCTATAATAATAATAACAATAATAATAATAATAATAATAATATAGAAATTTATTTATGTTACTATAAATTTATTTATCTTATTGAATTCATCAAGTAATTTTAGTGGTTAAAGAGTGTGTTATTTGCTTTTGGAGTTCTTGAATTTTAGTAGCTATGTCTGTAAAGTGTGTCAACAATGGTTAAGAAAAATTCTGAAGATATATTACCTTATAATAATCTAGACTATTCAAGAAAAGATTATTAATCTTGGTATCTTTCACAATTTCATATGAAAGTGATTATAAGATAATATTTGTTCAAAATTTTTCTTAATTATTGATAACACGCGCCTTGTAAACATAATTACTTGAATCTAAATTTTTCAAATAGAAAAATATTCCCTTTTACACATATACCATTTGTAGATACTCATTTTTGTCCGGGGCTACATCCAAGTTCATTTATGTTTATATATATATATAGTATTAATTAGTTTAAATACAAAAGACTATTGGGTTAGTTAGTTATATGTAGGGTGTTATATAGGTATATATATTATATTATATTATTATTTTTTATGTTCATATGTTATATTATTATTAATTAGATGGGTTAATTATTAGTTATTATATTTAGTTATGCGTGTGTTGGTGTATATATATATGTGGTTATATTATGACATATATATTTGTGTCGATGAACATATATAATATTATATATATAATAGTATGGGCGTGTGTTTATATTATATATATATAAATATATATAAAATCAAATATATTTATATATGTATAGAATATTAATTTAAAATGCATTAATCTTATTCAATGTTTACAGGCCCGAAGGTGACAAAGAGTAACTACATGAAGCCTAAAGTAATTACAAGAGTTATGGCCCAAACAACAGCCAACGCACGAACTAAAGCAAGCCCAATCAATTAGAAGCCCTAAGTAGCAACCCATGTGCTAGCTAGGATTTGGAGAGAATACCCTCACCATCCGTGAGCCACCAGGAGATATGAGCCTTCAAATCTGTTAACCGATCTGACAGTCCAGATCAAGACCAAAATTAGGGTTTTATAACCCTAAAAAATATATACGCAATCGCATATTCACCGTTGGATCTGTTGAGATCTAACAGCCCAGTTGTAGTGAAACTTAGGGTTTTACCCTAAACGATACCAACCACCGCCGCCAGTTAAGCTTAACTATCTGATAAACGAGTGTGAGATGCACGCACGAGCCTTTGGGCTCTTCACGTGCCCAGTTTGATCCTCATACAGCCCACACACTCGTTGGTCCCTACCTAATTCACGCTGCCACGATGGTTGGATCTCCTTTGTTGTACCCAAGTATCCGCATAGCCTAGAAACACCTCTGCCATGATAGTAGCAGGTGGTAGAAACTCCCCGACACAAAACTCTAACAAATCCCTTGCATGCAAAAACAAAAAAAAGGAAATATCATAAAAATAAAGGGAACGGTTTCTGATTCTAAAAAATAGAAAATGAAAGTGGGAGAAATGACATATAATAACACCAAAACAAAACAGAGAGGATGACCCTTTTTTTCTCAGGCACAAACATAGCACAAAACAAAAACAAAACCATCCATTTTTTAACAACACAAACCCAAAAAATAGAGGATCATCCCTTTCTTATAAGCAAGAGAACCAAAACCAAAAGAAGAGAAAGACCCTTTTTTATGACCGACCAACCTAGAACCCAAAAGCAAAAAAAACTCACCAAGAAGAAAATGCATCACCTTTCCTTTCCGAAAAACTGCACCACCATCCCCCAGAGTGAAAACACCGTTAAGCCGCTGGAGGTAACGTTTCTTTTGAGTTTGTTTGGGGTTTGAGGGGTTTTTTGTTAGGGTTTAGGTAGTTTTGAGTTTAGGGTTCAAATAATAGTGGTTTAGGAGGATTTTAGCCCCTCGTCAAGGCTGCTAAGGGGCGACAGCCATGGTGGCTATGGGCTAAAATGATTTATTAAAATGACAACTGCTTTGGGTGGCCAATCACACCCTAATCAAATATTGGTGGCAACTCGTCGAACCATTTTTTTATATTAAAAGGAAACACAAAATCAATCGAGATGAGATTTTTTTATCACTTAATAATTAAGTTTTAAGAAATCGTTTCGACAGCTTGGTGACTCCATTGGGGACATTTTTTAATAGAGTCAGGTCGTTAGTCAATTAATTAATTGTCTTTGTAATGAAAATTACAAGTTCGTTCTAATTTACTTTTTGATCCCTTGTTTAGTTTAGATAAATTTATGTTTGTAATTTGATTAATCACTAAATAGTTGGATTGGTTTGATTACTAATGTTTCCAGATTAAATGTGTCTTAAAGGGAATTGAGAAATGAGTTTTGTGTTTTGTGTGATTGTGTGTTTTTTCGTTCTTCCTAACATAGCGTGCACTTGATTATCATAACACGAGCTAAAACCCTGCTTCATCCAATTTAAGTAGGAGTGAGAAACTACTCCCTCGTGTAGTTTTCACCTCCGTATGGGATAGTGGATCGCTAATGGGGCTCACGTCTTATGGTCCTCGTGATGGTTTTCACCTTCGTATGGACATAAGGAGGTGTTTCCCCTCAAATTGAACTTAATCTGAAAGCCTATAATAGGCTAGGATTGAGGGTATGGCAACCCAAGGGGCACCATCAACGACAATTCGAGAACATTTTAATTTAGACTTGAACCGAGCATATAGTGAACCTAGAACCCGAACCTAGGTAGAGCCTAACTCAAACCTTAAGAATCCGATGAGGAGAGTACACAAGGAAAAGCTCTTTTGAGTCTTTTAATTTTTGTAGTATAATTTTGTTTTCCGGATAAATGTATAAGAACAAGATATCATGTGGTTAGGTTTATTTTTTTCCGAATAAGCATACGAACTAGATGGCACGAGGTTAGGATTTTTATGTTAAACAAATCATGGGGGTAGAAATCATGTTTGGGTAGGATATGCTAAAGCATGATTAGATAGCCAATATGTGGGGGTACGTTTTATTAACAAACTATATTATGTCCGATTGATTTATTTAAGATTACCGACTAATTTTCTTTTGCCTTTTTTTAGTTTGTTTTCATTTTTGCATTGTACTTTTATTCCATGGTGTTTATCCGTGATTAATGTCCATATAGAAGGCTAGTAATATAGAACGAATGGTCCAAAAAGAGGTAGAAAACAATTCAGATGAGATGGTCCGAGTAGTCTTAACTTACCAATGGAGATAGCTTATAGCCTGGACACGTGTCAGATGTGGTTGGTTACACCCACATCAATGTCCGTTAAAACGATTTGAGTGAGCTAAAGAATATATGGGAAAGATAGGAAGCAGTTGATAAGCAATTGTTCTATCAGTTATATAGTGACATCTCCTATCTCCTAGACGTTTTGATTGATCAAAATTTATTTAAAGCTCTTGCACAATTCTGGAACCCCACCTGTAGTTTCTTTACTTTTGTCAGAGTAGATCTGATGCCTACTATAGAGGAGTATAATGCTTTGATTCATTGTCAGAGATTCCAATTAGACATGGTGTACACCAAACTGCCAAACACTCATTTTTAAAAAAAAGAAAACTACTTTTGATTACTAGAATGAATGAAGAATGGTTCGTTAGAAGCTTCAAGAAGAAATGAGATAGTGAATGCATCACCTAGACTGCTCTTCGAGAGGTAATTGATCATCATCCCAATAAGAGAAAGAAGATGAACCTGTTTGCTCTAGGTATTTATGGGCTAGTCATATTCCCAAAGGTCCTAGGGCATGTTGATGTGCTAGTGATCGATTTATTCAAGAGATTGGACAGACATGTGGATCCTGTTCCAGCTATATTGGTCGAGACATTTCGTTATTTAAACTCTTACAGACAAGAGGGATAAGAGGTCTTAATAGGGTGTGCACCACTTTTACTAGTTTGGATCCTTAATCATTTCAAACGCGTTGAGAGGG